TGAATATTCTGCCTGCACCAAGTAAAGGGCACAGGTAGAACTGCTTGGCAGTATGTTGCTGGGGAGATGAGTTTTTTGTAGTTAAAGTGTACTACATTCTTACAAATTTGGATCTTAACCATGGGATTTTAATGATAGAAAAACTGTTGAAGATGAGTCTGGTCCCTTATTGTACAGTGAAGAAGCCGAAGCCCAGAGAAGGGTGTTAACTTTACGAGTGTCAGATAGTAGTTGGAACTTGCTTTTTTTTTTTGAGACGCAGCCTTGCTCTGTTGCCTAGGCTGGAGTACAGTGGTGCAATCTCAGCTTACTGCAATCTCTGCCTCCCAGGTTCAAGCGATTCTCCTGCCTCTGCCTATCAAGTAGCTGGGACTACAAGTGCACACCACCATGCCTAGCTAATTTTTGTATTTTTCAGTAGAGACAGGGTTTTGCCATGTTGGCCAGGCTGGTCTCAAACTCCTGACCTCAGATGATTCACCCACCTCAGCTTCCCAAAGTGCTGGGATTCCAGGTGTTAGCCACCATGCCCGGCCATAGACTTGTTTCTGTTCCTTCTCACCATGCCTGTACCAAGGTGTTGCTTATCCCAGAAGTTGTGATGCAGGTCCCCGCTCTCTCCATGGGAAGTTTTAGCAGTGTTTCTTTTTAGAATGTATTTGGGAACTTTAATTCATAATTTAGCTTTTTTTTTTTTCTTTTTCTTGTAAATAGGCTGTACCAGTGCAGGTCCTCACTTTAATCCTCTATCCAGACAACACGGTGGGCCAAAGGATGAAGAGAGGTAACAAGATGCTTAACTCTTGTAATAATGGCGATAGCTTTCTGGAGTTCATATGGTATACTACTTGTAAATATGTGCTAAGATAATTCCGTGTTCTCCCCCACCTTTGTTTTTGAACTTGCTGACTCATCTAAACCCCTGCTCCCAAATGCTGGAATGCTTTTACTTCCTGGGCTTAAAGGAATTGACAAATGGGGACACTTAAAACGATTTGGTTTTGTAGCATTTATTGAATATAGAACTAATACAGGTGCCAAAGGGGAACTTATACAGGAAATGTCATGAGTAACAGTACTGTCAACCACTAGCAGAATCAATCATCGTGAAACATAGGAAGCGTCTGTAGATTAAAAAAAATTGATATTGAAAACTAGTCGAGACTCCATTTGTATGTGTATATTTTCTGAAAGCCTTTCAGGAAAATACTAAATCTAAGGACAAGATTTTTATATCAGAGGCCTTGGGACATAGCTTTGTTAGCTATGCCAATAATTAACAGGCATAACTCAGTAACTGAGAGTTTACCCTTTGGTACTTCTGAAATGAGGTGCACCCCCATCTTTCTTCCCAGAGCATGAGTTTGTAGACTTGAAGCCTTGTTTGAAGAGCTGTGTTTAGAATGCCTAGCTACTTGTTTGCAAATTTGTGTTTACTCAGTCAAGTTTTAATTTAGCTCATGAACTACCTTGATGTTTAGTGGAGTCAGCCCTAATCCATCTGATGCTTTTCCATTATTAGGCATGTTGGAGACCTGGGCAATGTGACTGCTGGCAAAGATGGTGTGGCCAATGTGTCTTTCGAAGATTCTGTGATCTCACTCTCAGGAGACCATTCCATCATTGGCCGCACATTGGTGGTGAGTTTTCATAAAAGGATATACATAAAACTTCGTCTAACATACAGTCATGTATCTCTTCACTTTATGATTGTTAGTCGTGGTTTCTAAAGATCCAGATAAATTGTACTTGCAGTTCAAATTAGGAAAAGCAATTTTATTGGACAATTATGGTGAAAATCAATTTTATCTAGGTCAGCTAAGAACACTGTTCTGCTAAGATGCAGTAGAAAGCAGGTTACATTTGACCATATTAGATCTGAGTTTGGAAAACAGAGTAGTCTTTAGTTTTAAAATGGCCAGATTTTCTTGCCAGGATTGGGTTTCTCACTTGTTAAACAGAACATTTTGTTAAGTTTAAAACCTGGGATGGACTTCAGTATTCATGTTCATCCAGGACTGCAGGTTATCATGACTTGTTTAACTTGTGGGAAGCTGTTGCCCCAAGTTATTCTGGGGAATGCATCTGGTTCATGCAAAACACCAGGTAGACTGGCTCTCTTTTACCTCCCTTTGAGGGCATTAACATTCATTAGTCACTTCCATTCAGTTAACCCTTTTATTTTTAAGGTTTTCTTGAGCCATAGTTGTAAAGCAGAAAAATTGTTTACAAAGGTTTGTTGAACAAAATTCAAAATACTGTTGCTAAAGTATTAAGGTTTTTTAGGATTATGTCTTATTTATAGGCCTCTCATTCATTTGGTATGAAATTTTGAGCGTCACTCACTTTCACTTTCCTTTTTTTCCAAAGCAATTAAATTGCCAAAGAGTGACTGCTGAACTACAGTTACTGTAACTTATCATGGAGGACTAAGGGTAGTGTGTGGTGGTCTACAACATAGTTACTTGGGTTTTTAGTATTTCATTTAGAGATAGCAACACTTACCTAACGTTTAAAGGTAATGTCTTTGCAACACCAAGAAAAAGCTTTGAATAGTAGTTTTTACTTTTAAACTACTAAGTATTAGTATATCTACTAGGATTAATGTTATTTTTCTAATATTATGAGGTTCTTAAACATCTTTTGGGTATTGTTGGGAGGAGGTAGTGATTACTTGACAGCCCAAAGTTATCTTCTTACAATTTTTTACAGGTCCATGAAAAAGCAGATGACTTGGGCAAAGGTGGAAATGAAGAAAGTAAAAAGACAGGAAAGGCTGGAGGTCGTCTGGCTTGTGGTGTAATTGGGATCGCCCAATAAACATTCCCTCGGATGTAGTCTGAGGCCCATTAACTCATCTGTTATCCTGCTAGCTGTAGAAATGTATCTTGATAAATATTAAACACTGTAATCTTAAAAGTGTAATTGTGTGACGTTTGCCTAGTACCTGTAATGAGAAACTGGTTGATGATCACTTGGAAGATTTGTATAGTTTTATAAAACTCAATTAAAATGTCTGTTTCAATGACCTGTATTTTGCCAGACTTAATCACAGATGGGTATTAAACTTGTCAGAATTTCTTCAATTCTCATTCAAGCCTGTGAATAAAAACCCTGTGTGGCACTCATTTTGAGCCTATTAAAAGAATCCAAGTTCAAACTAAATTAGCTCTGATACTTATTTATATAAACAGCTTCAGTGGAACAGATTTAGTAATACTAACAGTGATAGCATTTTACTTTGAAAGTGTTTTGAGATCATCAAAATGCATACTTTTAAAACAGCAGGTCTTTTAGCTAATACGAACACAACTCTGCTTAGACAACAGGCTGTCCTTTGAAAGCTTTAGGGAAATGTTCTTGCTTAGTCATTTTAGCATTTTGATTCATAAAGTACCTCATTTTAAAAAGACGTTATGGTGTAAGAGAGCCATTTGATAACTTTTAGTGAGTTTAAAAGGCAAGTTACAGCCTCAGCTAGCTAATGAGATTATCTACCTGCCAGAATGGCACAAATTGTACATTCAAGGGTGGATGTTGGCACAACCTACTTAACAGATTAGCCCTTTAAAGAAATCTATAGCATTGGAAGATAGAACCAAGGAAATGTTTGACTGTGGGTTCTGGCTGTTTATTAATTTACACACCGAATTAGTGAAATGAGTCACTTTCTCTCAATGTATTTACGTACCTGAGAGAGAATGCTTTTAAATGTTAACCTAACTCAGGTTTGACTATTCAATTGGAAATTGTAAATTGTAGAATATTTCTGATAAACCATGAATAAGTGACAGTCTGTTCATAAATACGTACTTTATCAAATGTAGGAGAGGAAAAGCTAAATTGGGAAGACAAATCTGTAGTGTTTCCAAAGTTTTAAAATTATGTTAAAGAACAATATGCTTACAGTAAGTGGTTAAAACCACCATTCTTTAAATCTCGGTAATGTTTAAAAAACAGTATTTAACCCATTTCCCTAATGTAGTTTGTTGCCTATGTGGAATAACTCTAAGAATTAGAGACTCACGCCTTTCAAACTTCAAATATAATCACGCTACCAGTTAGGAGTAGTCATTTCATGTGCATATAGGATGCTCTTAATACTTTTAAGTTGGAAATACAGGCTGTAAGTCCTTCAAGTCTGGATGTTGAGTAATCACGTTTTCTTCCAGAAGCCATTTGTTAGGACTTTTTTTTGGGCCAGTGTAAAATTAAGGACAAGTTTTATAATTTAAATTTACAGATACAACAATTTTCTCTCATTTTCTAAAGGCAGGAATATAAGGACATTGCCCTAGATATATTCTCCCCATCAAACCAAAGGCCTTGCTGCTGAGTATTATTTAAAAACCAGAGTAATAAAGCAGCTTTGCCTGAGGATGACAGCAAAGACAAAGTTAACTGCTAAGCATACTGAAACCAGGAGTTTAAAAAAGTAATTCAAAACAACTTGAAGGCCATAAATATTTGGATAGTGTGGCATCAGGTCTTGGCACTGGATTTCCTGCAATTTCAGATAAAGGCTTGACTTGGCTTTAGATGTCTTCATGTAATTCTTGGATAACCTACAACAATTTTTCCTAGTTAACCCACCAACTTTAAGCAAAAGAAAAAAAGTGTATGTGGGGGAAAAGTTCAGTTTACCTCTGCCCAGCAGGGGAATTAAAAAACTGGTAAAGAAAGGCAATAGGCAAGGCTTATATAAGGAAACAATAGGTTGCACTGAAGTCCTCAAACACAACAAAAAGCTTTTAGGTTGCAAATGTTACCCTTGATTCTTTTACCCTTTCGAAAAATTCAGTGGGATGGTTGGAAAAAAAAAGAAACAACACACACACACATGCAACCTTCTAACGTAATACCCAGGCAGTCAGATAATTTATAGTACAACATGTAACACTGGAATTAACTTTTCCCCCAGCAAAATCTTACAAATTAATTAGGGCAACATATACCACAAAGCCAATGGGGAAAAAAAAAAAAACCTCGATTGAATTGCAAACACAGCTTTTCAATTGACATTAAAACAACTAACCTTTACCTTATGACTGAAACACTAAAATTCAAAAGTATTACATATGAAAGTGAGAATAACTACATAAAATGTCGATTTTCATCAAATAAGTCTAATTTAGACTCCAATACAGTATTAACAGCTCAAACTTTGATGGTGAACAATCCTTTTCCACCTTAATGCAGTGTAGGAAGAATAGCACACATTAAAGTTTGTTACGAAAATAGAGTTTATTAAAAACATCCCTATTGTTTTGAGGAGCTTTCACCGTTACCTTGTCTTAAATTAAAAAAAAAAAAAAATAGAGAGCACTTCTAATTACGATTTGTAAACTTTTTAAAGTCAAAACTTTTAAAAAGTTACAGCAAAAAGGGTAATATTTATTCATATTTTCAGTATTTTTTGTTATTTTGTGGCTATTTTTAAATAGAAGGGAAGCAATCAAATTGCTTACAGTTCCCCACCAGCTGGCGCGGGGCTGCAGTACAGCGGGAGCGGATATAATACAGCATCTGTACACCTCAAGCTCTACACTCCAGGAAGTGTCACTGTCACATTTTCACAAATTCCAGTCTCTTAACGAGGAGCCTCTGCTGCTGAGCCAGAATCCTTTTCGGGTTCAACGGATGAGGTAGCCTCAGCAGGTAACTCTTCAGAAGGCTTTAGGACTGCAGCCTCAGACTCCCCCTTCTCAAGTTCTGAAGCAGTGTCTACATTTCCCACTTGGCTAATGGGAGGTTCAACGGTTTTGTTACCACCTGCCCTGTCTGTCACCTCAGGCTTTTCCTTTCCTCGTGCTTCTTCCTTCTCTCTACGAGACTCTCTATCTCTAGAATCTCTCTCTCTGTCTCGATGCCCACTAGAGCGTCTATTTCTCTCTTCCAAGTCTCTGTGCCTGTCCCGGTCAGGGCTCCTCCTTCCCCACTCTCTCCTGTCACGGTTACTATTATCTCTATCATCATTACGGTTCCCATACCGTTCCCGGTCATTTTCCACCCTATTTCCGAAAGATCTTCTTCCAAACCTTTCTTGGTCTCTACCTGAATTGAACTGCTGTCTGTTATCATTTCTAAACTGCTGTGTCTGCTGCTGTGTTGGTGGAGGCTGTTGTGATGGCGGCTGCTGCTGCTGCTGCTGCTGTTGCTGGGGCGGCTGCGGCTGCGGCGGCTGCTGCTGCTGCTGCTGCTGCTGCTGCTGCTGTTGCGGCGGCTGTTGCCTTCCGTCTCTGTCTTCAGGACCCCCTGGGCCTGGCCCTGGGCCCCCGAGCCCTGGCATTCCACCAGGCCTAACGAACGGGCCATGTGGTGGGAAGGGACCTTTCATTCCATGAGGTGGGGGCATCGCAAAGCCCCCTGGTCCTGGCGGCGGGCCTCTGTGCATCATGTGCGGTGGCATGGGACGGGGCGGCATCAAAGGGAACCGCTGTAAGTGCGGTGGGGGCATTCCCGGAGGGCGCTGGAGTGGGATGAGACCGGGCCGGGCGCCAAGAAGACCAGTAGATGGTGCCTGAAGTCCAATTACAGGACCAGGGGCAACTCCTTGAGTGCCTAAAAGACGACAAAAATAAAAACGTCAACACCACAGAAGATGGCACTCCAGTTTCAGCTGTGTTCTGTGGAGCTTAAAGCAAAATCAAATTCAACCCACAATCTTCAAATTTCATACTGTGGGCCAGTCTACCCATCACAAACCCAGTGTGAGGCCTAGTAACAACCTAAGGCAAGCAACTGCAAAGAGATTTTTAAAGTATCTAATACAGGTAAGGGCCAGAATAAACTGGAAAATAAAATAGTAATGGTAATACCAATTTTCAAAGCCTATGTCAGAATCTCCTGTAGCTTTCATCAGAAGCTGTTTCCCACTCCAAATACATTTCAGAAACACAATGTGCTAAGTCCTCGTGAGATGAACATTCACCATCAGTAACTATTCAAGCTAACTAAGCAGACTGCAGGGGCACACAGAAAACTTACACCCTAGGTCTTCTTACTACTAGAAAAAAATGAGGTCACTGACCTAGAAAACCCAGTAAAGAGGAAGATCTCTTTGATTCCATGCTACACTTAGTCCATATTATTAAAATGCCTCATGCAGTTACTATGCACTGTGCATCAATTAAACACTAATGTCTACAAAACAAAGATCCATACGCAAACGTGAAGTTTATTGTTACAGTTCCTTTTTCAAGGCACAGCACAATATCTAACTTGCGAGGTCATAATGACCTGAATAATGCTCAATGTTCAGCTGTTTGCCTTCTATTCATTCTTTCTATTCATTCTTCCAAAGGTGGCAAGTTTGGTAAGGTTGGTGCGGCTGAAATAACAGTGACTTCGTGGGTTTTATTTTCCCATCTACATAAGGGTTTGCTCATACTGATATAAGAGTCACATAAGTTCAACAACCTATCTTTTTCTGCTTGGGGTTTACCACTTAGGTAACAAAAGCACTGGAATCTCTCAATTTATTCCTTTGCAAATATAAATATTACAAGACAAATACCATAATACTATGACTGAAAGGAGTTATTCTGATAATGGAAAATGTTCCAGATACTGTCAAGAATATGCTATTTACCCATGTGCTGCAGAAAGGTCTTTGGGCAAGTTATGGCAATGGTAAGAAAAATACTTGGGTGACACTGACAGAAAAATGACCAATACTTTAAGTACTAGTTACTTTCTTTCTTCCCCAACATCATGTTATTTAGGTTTACAATTTGAATAAACTTCTTCCGACTTACTTCAGCAAATTTAGCAAAAGTCCTGTTTCTAGATTTTATGTACTAATAATTATATCATGCTAAACAAGAACTTCTACTTTAGTTTTTGCTACCCACAACGTGTTGTCCAATAGTACTTGTCACACTTTAGCACTAAAGTGGGCCTGAAAAGGTATGTAAACTAGTTTATAACTCTTTTAACATAAAAACTCAACAGCTTTGGTATTTACATAAACAAAAATATCTTCTTCTAAATGCCTAAAGAGGAATATATTATGTTCGGTGAAATATCATCTCGGACATGTGCCTCAGCATTCTGGCTTATAAAATGGGCATAGTAATAATACCTGCCACTTGTTGAGATCAAATAGGATAAAACACTTAAGAGTGAGTTCAGTGTTTGGCTCCTGTAGCTGTGAAATTATTATCCTGCATATCTATTTAGAAAAGTAATAAATCCTAATACTAAACAATTGATTTTGCAAAAAATAAACACATTTTCCATTTCTGATAATTAAAATCTTAACTCCTCCTGCTTCTTCAACACCTGCCATAAACTCAAGTACTCTGGTAACTGGAAAAAATACATTGAGCTTTCACGTCAGGTCTAAAGTTGGGAAATGCTGACTACCATAGCAAAAACGCCAGAACCTGTGAAATGGATGTGGTGATGACTCTTCACAGGCTCTTTAGACTCTTTGGGAAAATCCCAGACAATGAACATGTACAGGACACCAGCTACACCTTATCTCAGATAGAAATAAAATATTCTTCACATCATCTGGGAAATATTTACTGAGTATATATCATACCCTGGGGTAAGAGAAGCATACGTCCTTGCTTTCACTTTGTAAAGGAATAGTGTAGTTCCAACACCTGTGGAATTTAGTCCAAAACATAAAATGTATATGCCCAGGCACAGTCCTTTAATAGAGGGATCATTATACAGAAACACCTGAAACAAACAGAACTTTACTTTCCCATCACCTTTTATTAGGAAAGATCTGTTTTCCAGGACTAAAATGACCAAAGTTTACTGTTACAGAGGTCAGCGTAGCACATTCTGGTGCCTATCTATAGGTTCAAGTGGCCGTGCCAAATTTTAAAATAACACCAGAAAAACGGAAGACACAGTTTCAAAGCATCTTATTATAACAAGAGAATTTAGTTGAGATGAGTCTTCAAAAGGAGAGTGATTCCTGAAGGGCAATGGGAAGGTCCTACTCGTCATTGCCCCATGACTTGGCGTCCTCAAGTATCTGACAGTGGCCAAAGGATGCAAAGCCATCTCAACTTACAGAGAGAAAATGGGCCCTGATGATAAAATACAAACCCCAGTCTGAAGGACCACATCTCTTAGGTACTTTACAGCATTCATTTGAGGGTATAAATTAACAGGGTTAAAATTTACAGTAATCATAAACCTCATATAAAAGCACAATTTTTATAAAGAATTGCCTATTTGATACATGTGGATATTTGTGTGGGATCTGCTTAAAACATTATACACTCAAATCCCTTCCCTTCTTCGTAAATAAAGCTAAAAAGATGTGGCCAGCTGGGTTTCCTTTTAAACCTCTGAGAGCCAACTAAATTGACAGATTTCTGATAGAATATGCCCATAGCCCCAGATGGCCTTCAGACCACAAAAAACATTTTTTTTATCTGTAGTTCCTTTTTTTCTCTTTTGCAGTGGACCTGTAATGCTTTTATAATTAGGTATATTAAAAACACATTAGGTGGCAGAAGACTTTGGAAAGCATGCTAGCTAGGAACTCCTTGTTAGGAAAGCTGGCATTAGGCATAAACCATAGGAGTATATTGTGAGTCGCCTAGGTGAAAAGGGCATTCAAAGCAATTATTCATTTCATCTGGAAATACGATGTGCGGTATCACCGACAAGTTTTCTAAAGTTATAAATGTTTAAAAACCCAATTCATTCACATTATGTATTAAATATCTGAATTATCTATTAAGTCATTTAATAGTCCTTTTCTCCAAAAAAGGGACAAACTTTGGTAGAAACGGACAAATTTCAATTTCTGTAGATGGCGGCACAGGTGGTATAGAGGTGGGACTCATAAAGCTGGAGTGTGCATCTCAGTGGCAGTCATTGGGGGTGTCTGAATTGGATGTCAAAGAAAAAGAGACAAGGCTAGTGAGTTAAAGAAGGACATTACTATCAAGACATTACTAGCAGCTTTTGAAAAGGCATAGCAAGGTAAAGCAGTGGTGTGTGTGGTTCAGAGAACCACAACAAAATGACTTTTGATGAAAACTAAGAAGAAAGGAGAAAATACAGACGAGGTTTAAAAGAGGTAAGTCAGGGCAATTCAGAGGCCCTATGTGCCATAGAGGAACCTGGACTTCGACCTCTAGTGCTGCAGAAAACCAAGGAATTTTTAGCAGGGATAAATGATTCCATGATGGTTTTTGATAGATGCTTCTGGCAAGTAGTGTACAGGATAGCCAAGAGGAGAATGCCATTTTGGAGAATCCAGCAGTGACAGCGATAATGACAAGAGACTGAAGTGAAAGAGAGGTGCTAGAGATGTAGGACACAGAAGACATTTAGTGGACAGAAGGATGGGGTGAAAGCGATGAAGGAACACAGCTCTCTGCCTTAACTGAGCGGATGCAGCTGTCAACGCAAGATCAGAAGAGTGATGGTGTTAACTCCCCTGGAATACAGGTGAAACAAAAAAGGGCTCAGACCTGGGAAACAATTTTTTAATACAGCAAGGCGTTAGGGCAGACCAAACGAGTGTCAGCTCTAAGTGCCTGAATTCAAATTTGAGAAGTATAGAAAACACACTGAATTTAACTAAAAATAACCAAGAATCTATAAATATTTCCTATGATGATCCAAAAAAGTTGTTTTACAATTTTAAAAGGGGGTGGGGAGACACCATTGCCATCTACAGCAAAGATGCCTGAAATGGTGTGAAATAAAGAACAAGTAAATTAAAGGGCTATAGGGGAGGTGGGAGAAAGGAAGGTTGATTTCATAGTTGGAGTCCAATGTGGACCCTGAAATCTCAGGAAAATGTGCATAAGGGATACAAAAAGCATATAAATGAATAGGGTGGCTTTCTGTCAAGGACCACAGAGTGTATGCAGTCAGGGAGACAGATATAAAACATAAAATGTATAACGTCTGATTTAAATACTGTGGGAGTGACCAACTGCATCAGTTGCAGAGGATGCAAAATTTCAGTGAGATCTTCACAGAAAGAGGAATGAGTCAGTTCCTCTACCTGTTTTGGTCAACAACCCTATCTTCCATTCTACCAGAGCCACCACCTCTAGGAGCTCTAGATGTTTGATCACTAATAATTTCATTACTTCCAAATTCCCAATTTCAAGTACCCTACTCTTTACCCGCTTCTCCTCTTTCCAGATTATTCTCTCCATATCTCCTTTCCCCAAACAATCTTCAATCCCACCAGGCTCATGCCCCCACCCCCGCCAAGGCCCTTCATGTTTTTCTCTTCCTCCTTACCTGCTTTGGAGTCCATGGCTCTCCCTCACCATATCTGCCTGGAAAATCCCCAACACTGGTTTTAAATGCAACTCTTTTGCCTAATCTCCACCTGGACGTGAAGTATGCTGACCGCTCTCACTTCAAATTTTCCTAACTATAACCAAAGTGCACCCTTCATTCTGGCCAGTAATCTAACATTTTACTAGTCAATCCACATTCTCATGTCCTGGATGAGGACACATGTTCAAGTTTCTCCTTAATCCTGTCTACTCTTAGTTGTTTTGTTTGGTAATTTTAGTAAGGTAAAATTCACACAGCCTGTAATTTACCCACATAAATGT